GGGTATTTTTTCCACAAATTATTGCCTATAAAATGTTTAAAACCAAGAGATGGGAGAGAAAAAGATAAAAAAAAAATCCCAAACTCTACGGTCCAAGGGAAAACTGATGAAGCTCACATGGGAAACTGTTCCCTTTCCCCCACATTGGTGCAGAGCTGCTTGGGAGAGTAGGCTTTCCTGGTGGACACCGGAGCCGCTCCATGCCATCGCACAGACTGCTCTGCTGCAAGGGCATCGGCACAGGCAAGCCGTAGCATCTCTTCTCTGTGCCCTCATGAGTCGTGAGATCACCAGAAAGTCATCCGGGCAGAGCAGGTGCTGTCATCGCTCTTCATCGCTGTAGGAACCTGGGCAGAGAGTGCGTGACGTGGCACGTGGCAGGACACGGACGAGCACGGTAACGAACTGGATGAGAAGCTCCTGAACCCATCAGCATGAGTCTGCTCCATGCCGCTGTCTGAGAAGAACATCCCTGGTTACAAAGGGACCTAGGAACTTCTCGTGCCTGGTTGTAAACTTGCCGTAGCAAAGTGGAAAGTGCACCTTTGCTGATATTTGCAGTATCCACAGCATCGCTGGCGTGTAGGAACTTCACCGCTGCCCGTATTGGGTGATACAAGTGTCCTCTGGGGATGTCTCCGGTGAAACCCCACCAGTTTACAGTAAAGACAAACCTCCAGACCCACTTTAGCAGTTCATGAGCACGGGGCAGAGACGGACTTGAAGGGGCTGTTTTCTGCCGCTGGCAAATACGGGCAGGTAGATCTTTTTCTCTCCTTCCTCTCTGTATTCTACCTCTGGCCTCTGTGCAAAGCAGGGATGTTAAATGCTTTCCAAATACATATTGTAACCCAAAGTAGTTGCTAGCCAGATTGAATTTAAATGCAGTCAGGTTTTATGGAGAGACAGAACATTAAAGAGGTGAAATGTGCCAACTTGGTGGGGAACATGCTCTCAGGACACATACCCTGCCATACACAGTCCTGGACAATTACCTGAGAAGTCAAAAAGAGAGTCAGGAGTGAAGATCTGAGCCCAAGAAGGAGGGAAAAAATGGTTCACTGTCCAAGGACAGGCAATGTGTCTTCTGAAAAAGTGAGGAACATGGGCAGAGAGCAGATCTTGCTGAAGGTAAAGTCCATTTGACTCAGATTCAGACAGCTCCGCTGTAGCTCTGTTCACTCACAGCCTCTGTATCGTTCTAAAACAGGGCAGCTGCCTCAGCTCACAGCATAGGTCCTGCTCAAGGTGTAGAGAGATGGCAGAGGGCCACCACGACGATTAGGAACTGTAAATATAGGACGTGAGGAGATGCTGAGAAAGCTGGGTTTGCTCCACCTTCAAAACAGAAGGACTGGGGTGGGATCTTATTTCTTCCTTGACCTACCTGATGACAGGGTGATGCCAGACTCTTCTCAGAGGTGCACAGTGAAAGGATGAAATGTGATGGACACAAGCTGCATGAAAGGAAAATTAGATATAGGAATCCGATATAAAGAAAAACTTTTTCAGCATGAAGAGCCTCAAACAGGGTCCCAAAGAGGCTGTGGGATCTCCATGCTTGGAGATACTCAGAACTCAGCTGGACAGGGCCTGGAGCAGCCAGCTCTAAGTTGGTCCTGCTTTGAGCGGTGGTTGGAGCAGAGACCTCCGGAGATTCCTTACACCTTTGTTATTCTACAATTTTAAGATACAGGCCAAGCATCTCCACTCCTGATAGTGTGGCATCTTCCTCCAGTTCCTCCCCATTGGTACAGCAGAGCAGAAACGTTCTTCTCCAGCCTTTGGGGAACAGTCCTAGAGCGTAAAAGCCACATGATGACTGTGTCCTCTAGACACAAGCTTCTCTAGGGAGAGGTTCAAACTGGGAACACCTTGTTCAGCAGTGTGTCGGCTAGCTAGCTGCTGGTCACATTAACTCAACAGTGAAGAGAGTCTCAGACTTTGATGCCCCAGGACAGTCTTCCCTGTTAACAGCTTCAGGTGACGATAGTAATGAAGGTAAGAAAATATGTGTTAAAATAATATTTGACTCAAGAGGCATTTCAAATAAGTTCCTTTTAGTTGCGTTTGTAGGTGACTTCTGTCCTCCAATTTTTTGGCATGTTTATGCTCTTTGGATTTTCTCCATGGTGCATTTAGAGTGGCAAAACAACCACAGTCGCAGGCTGCTTTAAGGAATGCGTTCGGGCAGTTTTGGGGTACTGCATGCAACAGGTTAAGCAATCCAAGTCTCCCAAAGGTACGTAGAAGCCAAGCAATCACTGTTGTGCTTAGGGTGCAATGTCCATGCAGGGAAACAAAAAATACATGGAGAAAATGAAATGACAGACAAAAAGGCTGTCCGTTTGCTAAATGCCACAAGGAATTTGTACATGCGGAGGTGGAAGTACACGGAGGTTAGAAAGGTACCTACAGCATGGCTCAATGACAGCAACGGGGGACCAGAGCAGAAGAAGGAAAGAATTATTATTTTTATTACAGCAATGTCATGCTGTCCAGCTTTGTGTCATTGCCTTATTGCAATCTCATCTCAGAACTTGCAAGGTAAAGAGCTGTTGAGGAAGGAGGGGTTGATGGAGACAAGGCTGCTGGTGGGACAGACCACAGGGCATGGAAACCGTATCTCTGGCCTGTATAGGGTGTGCACTGCAAGACTGGATTCCGTTCTGCTCGACCAGAAAGCAGCTGAGATGATAAACTCCTAAGAGCTGAGAGATTTGAAGGTTTATGTATGCAAAGAGAAACCAGCGACCCTCCAGCTGTACCATCAACCACAGCATCTAGAAAATGTGGTGAAGCAGAGCAGCAGATGAAGCATTGCTGGAGATGGGGTACTCTTTCCAGCTGGAGGCTCAGCGCAAGGCAAGGTGTTGGTCAGGGCTTCTTTAGCAGGTCCCAGTCCCACTGGGGCAGCACGTCAATTCGATCAGGACTCCAGGCGCAGCACTGCGGGTGTATTTCTTGGGAAAGCCAAATCCAGCCAACAGGCAGAATCCACTCTTAGGCTGCTGAATGGACCAACTTCCAACAAATGCCTGAGGGAGGAAGCCAAACGGGTGATTTCCTTTGCAAAGGGTAGTAAGTCCCTCCTACCAGTCCAAGTTCCACGTCTGTCATCCTGTTGCAAAAGGTAGAGTGGGCCAGTGAAAGCCCAAATCTGGCTAATACAGGGAAGACTCTTCCTTGAGGGAAGAGTCTGCCTGCATGGGATTTCCCCAGGGAAGGTGAGGTCACACCTTCACCTGGTGATAAGCCCACCACCAAGAAACCAACAGGATTTTCTTTCACCCCCCAAACACTCTGAACATAACCATAACCATTCACTTGCAAACCCAAACTGGCACGGTTCCTGCAGCCAGATAACCTCTGGGTGAGGCAATGGGAAGATGTGATCCATCGCTGGCATTCCTATTGACCTAGTTGCGGTATTTCCACGGATCAGCAAATTGTCTCCACTTGCACACCACGCTGAGTTTTGTTTACCGAGAAAGGTTTTGGCTTTAATGAAAGAAGAGAAGAGGCTTTGGAGTCCAGAGGCATTGCCAAAACCAGCCTGTGTTTTAATTTATAAGATACAAAAGAAAAATATTAAATGGAAAACAGCTTATCACCGCACATAACAGCATGATGGTGGCCACCAATCTATTTGAAATGTCCTTCTTGAACATAAAGATCTTACATTTTTCAGGTATACTAATAGGACAGTTGCTCTGCACAGAATGACATTTTCAGCTCAATTTGAAATTGTGTCATTGGACTGAAAAGCTGTTGAGGGCTTTTTTTGTCCCCGTAGAGACGAAAGGATCTGCCCCCATAGCCAGGTGAATGTGCTAGCTGCTGGCAGCCCTGTAGCTCACATAGTAAAGCGGGTGCTTGTTCAGTCGTGTGGCCCAAATATCCTCTGAAGCTGCCAGATGCCGCTTGAAAGCACAGATGTTTGGAGCCTTTCTGTTCGTGATTAGGACTTTTCGAGGGTAACGTGATGCATTATTGACTGGGTGAGTTTATGGAGAGGCTTTCATTTTCCAGCCCTCTTAATAGAAGAGTGATCTAAATGGTTTTTTAAAAATCCATTTTGTGGAGTGGTGCTGCTGTGGTTTTCATTTACAACCGGTTGTTAATTAGGCCAAACTTTGATGAGCATTTCCTATTTAGTTTGCCCTTTTATTAGCTTGTTTGGCCAAGTGTGTGCATGTGTGAGTTGCTGCTTTTCTGCTAGTACTACTTGCAGGCACGTCACAGCCTATTCCTGGCACCTTACAGGCAGTCTCTCCGCCGCAGATGGCGGCTCAAGAAACACCAACTTTCCTGTCCTCCCCTTGCTTTTCGTGGTTGGACAGCCCAGAGTCTTAACAATGAGTCTTTATATGTCAGCTCTCATGACTTAGTTGCTGATCATTTTAGGGAAGGCAGAAGCCTGTAGAAGGCAGAATTAGGAGGTGCTGGAGGGATGGGGGAGCAGAAGGGAGGGACGAATAGCACAGCAGGGGAACACAGGAGCACTGCAAGGGACATTGCGCAAGGGACAATGGTGGATGGTACTGGAAAGTGATCAGGACATTTATCTAGCCCAGAGGTGCCCTTTGAGTTCACTGTGATCTGGGCATAAAAGAAAATTGCTGAATTGTTCCAGTAAGGAAGGAGTAAATATGTAAATGTATAAATACTGAAATAAATATATACATACTGAAGAAGATTGGGAAACATGAGGAATTGCTTGAAAACAGCTTTTTTAGGCCCAGGTTAAAGACTGCTAACAAAGGAACTCATTTGGCACTTTTTTTGCCTTCATTGATAAGCATCTTTGAATCTTTCCTTTCTAAGGTTTGTATGAATCAAATGACCGAGTGATCGGTGCTCAGGTGTGTATTTTGGAAGTGTGAGGGACTAGATGCTTTCCACTGATGCTTCCCACTGCTGTTGATCCTGATGTCTTCTGTGTCGATGCTATGTCTGAATACTAACCCTTTTCTTTTGTCACATCTGTCTTCTTGCAGGCATATATGCTGAAGTCATTTGAAATTAACGGTCTGCCCAAGGCAGTGCCTTTAAGTTTGCCTTACCAAGACTTCAGAAAAGATGTGTCAGACTACTGGGAAAAGCCTAAGGTATCCCAGCGGATAAAGAAAGTTGATTTCTCAAATGTTGTCTTGACTGCTCCTTGCAAACCTCTGGAACCTTATCTGGAAATTAATGGAAAAGAAGAGGAAGAAGAAGACGAGGAAGAAGACGAGGAGGAGGAAGACGATGAGGAGGAGGCAGAAGAGGAAGGGGATGAGATTGACATGCATAGTGGTTCCAGCAGTGACCTGAGTCAAAAAAGCACAGAGCGCAGCCAGGAGTGCGCACCATCCACGCTCCTGGCTGATGACCAGAAGGGATCCAAGGGTCGCGCATCCACTGCTGATGGGGACCTGGAGCTGGAGGAAGGATCAAAAACACTAGTGCTGTTTTCACCAGGTGATCTGAAAAAGTCTCCGGTGACCACAGACTTGGCTCCAGAAGTTGATCTGGGCACGCTTGCTGCACTGACACCTCAGAGCGAGCGGCCACAGCCTATGGGTAGCCAACTGGATGTATCTGAGCCCAGGACCCTGTCTTCAGTCCTTAAATCTGAACCAAAGCCTCCCGTGGCAGTGGCTACAGCTTCCTCCCCCTTTACCAAAGTTGAGCGCACATTTGTCCATATTGCTGAAAAGACCCACTTAAACGTCATGTCTTCCAGCGGCCAGCTGATGAGGCATGAGGAGTACTGCCCTCCAGGCCAGTTTGAGGAGGTCATTATCGAAGAGGAGCTGGAGGACAACCTGGCGCTGGTAGAGAATGGAAGCATACATTCGGGGCTAGAAGGGGCAGAGACGGAGAGCTGTGCACTTTCCGCTAATCCCATCGAAACCACCTCAGAGACGGTGGGGGAGCAGCTGGCCCTTCCCAATGGCATAGCAAAGCCTCCTGAGGACAAGCCAGAGCTCTCCGACAAAGCAGCACTCTCAATGGATTTGGAAGAGCCTGGCAAGGTGGTTACAAGGGAGCCTGACCTTGAGAAGCCGGCATCGATAGCAGAACACCTGAAGCGAGCTGAGACCCTCCTCGACACCCCGCAGCAGGGCCCCAGGAGACCTCTGGGCTCCAGGTATAGAAGTCGGATACCCATTTTGTTCTCTGAGGAGGACACCGGCTCAGACCTTTCAACTTCACTCTCAGCCAAAGAGAGGCTTTATAAGAGGGCAAAGCAGCCTGACTTGGCTCGCCTTGTGATGGAGAAGAGGCAAAACCGCCTCCTTCGGCTGGCCTCAGGGGCCTCGTCCTCAGCATCCTCCAGCGATGAGAGGATGCGTCGGGCCTCAGAAACCCTGTCGGCCACCGGTTCTGAGGAGGACACCCACGACTCTGATGACTCCATTCCAAGGAAGGCAGGGAAGGAGAAGGCTGCCCTCCTGGGGAAAGAAGAGAGACCCATAAGCACAAAGAGCAGAATTCCTCGGCCCATCACGCCAGTGAAAACACCGCTGGAGGCACCAAAGTCCGAGAGCTCCATGGCCATCCCGATGGCCGTGCTATGTAGCTCCCCGCAGGATGCATCTGTTGCCTACAGGTAAGACCAAAATGGTGAGCAATGCAAAATGTTGGACTTGTTACCCTCCCACTGCTTTACCCTTCACTTGGCTTGAATGTGTGGGCCATCTCTCTTTCCTGCAGTCATTTCAGCTCACCAGTGCGTGAAATTCCCAGCTCTCTGGCTTCTTTGTCTCAGTCTGTCCGAAGGACTAAGCCCCTCTTCACTGCTCCTGGCTTTGAGGCTTTCTTCCCTTCCACCAGCTCTTTCATTTGGTCTGATCCTGCTAATAGCAGATCCCTCCGGTGCTGAGCTCTCTGTTTTGCAGTGTGCTTGGCTCCTGCAGGACTCTGCAGGGAGACCTGGCCTGGCCATTGTGATTAGAGCTGCAAGGGCTGTGAGGTTTCCAGTAGTGATTGCCTCAGAAGATGGCCAGCATGCGACGAGCAGGAGAGAGGGAGGTGCACATGCATGGGCTTTGTCAGTGACCTGGAACAGCGTGGGCCACCTCCACATGGTCTGAATTCCATACACACCCCTGTACCTTGAGATTTTTGGAGGTACCTGTCTCTCTATCAAACAAGCACAGAGATGTAAGTGGTGGCGGACCTTCTGAATTCACCAGTGTTCGGCTTTTCTGCGTGGCCTTGGGGCTGGCGGTCCAGCCCTGCTGTGGCTCTGCCACAGGTCCAGCAAATTCTGCTCTTGCAGAGACATGGGGGTGAAAGGAGGGGATCCCTGTGGGTTGGTTTATCTTCTGGCATGGTTACCATCATAGGCCAACTGGTGCATTCAGGTCATGCCCATGTTCCCAGATTGTATAGCCTGCCTTGAAAGAGGTTGCTGCATCCATGCTGCATGTTAAGAAGACTCCCAGATATGTGCTGTCGGCCAAACCATGCCTGCATGTTGTCCCAGAGGGAGCTCGAGACACTAGTTAACAGCATCAAGAGTTACAGGACGGTGCTCAAACTTGTTCACCATATAGCTCCTGTCATCCTGGTGCTGGAGACTCCTTGTAATTGCCCAGCAACATTCGCGCCAAACCTGCCAGGAGCCTGGAGCCCCTTGCAGAAACTCCCCTTCACCTTCCCTCTTGTCTTCCCTGACAGGCTTCAGGCCCAGAGACCGGCTGGAAGTATCCCAAATGAGTGTCGAACAATGCAGATACAAAGTCGGCTTCCTCCTTCGTCCAGCTCCACTTCTCTTCCTCCACGGAGCAGCTCACGGAGGTCCAGCGGTGCATCCCCTCGGAGCCCTGTCCTTCCTTCGAGAAACCCCAGTGCTTCCCCCAGGAGCCAGCTGCCACCTCAGAGGGAAAGTCCTTCTCCCTGCCGACAGCAGAAGCCTGCTCTTCAGCGAGCTCCTCCTCAACAAAGAGGGAAAACCCAGACTCAGAGTCCAGCAACCAAAGGAAAGCAGGTGTCCCTGGAAAGTAAGGCAGCTGCCAGATAATGACCCTCTTCTGCCAGCCCAGCGGCCTGGGTAACCTCTGCATATAGTGTACACTTGAGATGCTGCAGCACAGCCTTCCACGCTGGACCCACGGGTGTATAGCAGTAGCTGAACTTCAATGCTTCACTCACTCTCACCCCACACTGTCGCGATCAGCTCCCACCGGCCTGACAGCCTCTGAGCCACGGAGCCTTCTTCAAGGGAGACATCCAGCCCGCAGCTCACGCTTGCTCACGCGCAGCACCAAACAGCCACCCAGGCAGCCTGCCCAGCGCCTGACCCGCCGCCCGCCTGCCCCAGGCGCTCCCCTCTCTCTGTTAGCAATACCAGTTGCCAACACCCAGCCTGGCTTTGGAAAGAGGAGCAGAGGTGGTGAGAGCAAGGCCTGCCGGAGAGGAAGGCTCCTGTCCTGCAGGCAACTTGCTCCTCTCTCCTTGCTGGGAAAGCACCAGCCTTGGCCGCCACCACCCACCCGAGTGTGGGCTCGCCTCCCGCCACCTGTGTTAGCAAGGGATTGTCACCAGCTTAGCCAAGAGGGACGGATGCGTCCTCGTGTGCTGAGATAAGAGCAGGGGCAGGGTGGAGGGGGCTCTTCTCTCCTTTCCAGAGATGCCCCTGCAGATGGGAAAGGCAGACAGGCTGGATGCTCCTCCTCGCTCCAGGATGTCCCAGAGAGGAGGCTGGCTGGCATCGCTGCTCAGCAACACTGCTGCTGTTTCAGCAGATGCCCATGTGGTGGGTATTTAGATGGAAGTAGGGATGTATCAGCAACTTGCTGGGAAATCAAGAACACTTGCTATTTGATGTAGAAGGGAGCACACTGCAGCCACTTCTGTCTCAAATAGCAGACTGTGATCTGTGGAGACCACATCTCCCAGCATGGGTGGTTCCTCTTGACCTGGATGTGGTTGGTGCTGCAGACCTGTAGTCCACCAAACACAGCTCCATCCTGAAGATGTGAATAGTCACTGGATGCCTTTAGTTTGGGTGCTCCTTGCACCTGAATTCCTTGTGCTTTATTGTCATGCTCTTGGTGTTTGTGAATTTTGGCACTGTGGTTCAAAGATCCCCAACACGGCAGGGTGGGAAATTATTATCCTGTAGTATACTCAAAGCTGCTGCTTTGCAAGGAGAGGTTTGCTGGCACGCCAAGGGTACCTTGTGCATTTCTATCCAAGAGTACAGTGGGCTGAGTTGCAGAGGTTGGGCTTAATTCCTTCTCGGTGCTCAGCCATTCCATGTGTTGCGTCAGAACTAACAATGTGAACGTAAAAGCAAGGGCTGTACTCATCAAGTAATAGTATCGGAGCAGAACCTTAGTGCTCAGCTACAACTAAATCAACCAACTTTTTAGCCCCCAGACTAATTAGGAAGGTTTGAAAACGAAAGCCAGGAGGACTGATACCTACCTGAGCTTCATGAGATCTTGAAGTAGTCCCAAAATCTTCCCCGCACCTCACGGGGGAAACACCCCAGACCTAAATACTTTGGGCTTCACACCATTGTCATGCCTAAAAGAGGTTTTGCATGAGGCAGAACAAAAAATAACTCCTCTGCTCTGTGCACCCATTTACACAGCTGCAACTAGCTGTAAATATTTACTATTGGCAGACAGCAAAGCTTGGTAGAGGAATCTGGACAGTAATAACCATGATTCATTTGAACATAGATCCAGTCCCCCTCATAGCCACCGAGTCTGAGGAATCCTGAAGTTGTTCACATCTACAGGAGCTGTTTTGAAAAGCAGCATGAGAGCTACGATGAGGTGGCTGGGAGAACAGGGTACTCCTTGGACATCTGAACAGGGAAATGTCCAGAAATATGTGACAGGAATCACCTCTTTGTATGACAGTCTCAGTGTTGCCAATGCTAAGAATTTATTTCATCTAGCTCAAAGTGTTTCCTGTTTTCCACTGATGTTGTTCACCCTGGTAGGGTAAGAAGCACAGCTTCTGGTCTAAAAACATGTCCTCATCTCTGCCGAGAAGCATTGGGAGCTCCAAGGTCAGGCTGTGGTTGCATAGACTGAGCTGATGTTGCCACCAAAAGCAGTGGTCCCTCCAAGTTCCAGCTGCTCCATTGCACTGTCCCACCCCCTTACACGGGGGCAGCTGTTGGCTGGAAATGCTGATCCAGCATGACACCAAGCACTCTGGTTTGCTGGCTTGGTTTTTGTCGGATTCAGTTCATCAGTCTGGTTCAGAGTTTGGTCACACAACAGAAGTGGGGAGAGGAGAGGACAGAGGGTGTGATCACTTCTTCTGGTGGCACTGTAACTTCATGTGAGTTTCAAGTGTGGGTCAGAATAAACCCAAACACAGATTCTTTCCAGAAACATAAAGAGTAATGACACTCCTGTTAATTTGTTGGGGGACTATTTGTTTTAGAGTGCTCAGATGGCAAGACTTTGTCGTGAAGCCTTTACCAGATGCTCCATCCAGATCTTGCGTGCACGTGCCAAAGTGACATTGAAAGAGCTTAGAAAGAGGGCTACAGGGCTATTATCAGGGTTAGCAAACCTGCCTTAGCATGGGAGGCCAATAAAGCACAATCTATGCATTTGTTCAAGAGAGAGTTTTCCATGGCCCGGCTATACCCATGGCAGGAAGGAAGCCCCAGGGCAGAGATCTTCCATCTGGCACATGAAAGCAGGGACGATGGAGTAGCTGAGAATGGCAGATGAAGAAATCAGGCAGGCTTTTACCCGTGAAACCTTTCACAGGAACGTGGGGACTTTCCCTTACTAAAAGGTTTTCTGAGAAACCCAGAAGTCTTCAAAGAGGTCTTCCTACCATGATCCAACCAAAAGTAGCAGGAGGAACGCTGGTGACACCAAGGTATCACCTCTCTGTGGTGCAGGAGATTCCCCGTCCTGCCAGACACGTGCCGAAGCCATCACAGATTGGAGAGCCACCAGGCAGGTCCTGAAGGAACCCGGCTGATGGCAGCAACGCTTCCTCCCCAGAGAGTCTGCACAGGAGCTGCCGGGCGCCAGCACTGAACGGTTTCTAAGGGTTGTTCCTGCAAGGCCTGACTGTCCCCGTGTATCCCACAGGTTGGGTCTCTGGACCTGCTCCCCTTCCCAGCGGCAAGTGATGCTGTGATCGGGGCTGGGTGTCACATTGCCTCTTTTCTGCCCTCACTGGAGTTATTTTAACAGGAGTTTCAGTGCTGGGTTCTTCCAGTCCAGCGGATATCAAGAATTTGCTAACAAGAGGTGGTCCTCAGAGCCACGTTTTGCTGGCAGAGCTGGTCAGGGGGCACTGCCTGGTGCAGGCATGCTCGTAAGCCCCCGTTAGCAGCCAGTGTCCCGCAGGAGGTGATGTCTCAATCCCTCTTTCAGGTATCAGCGGAGGGACTCGGGAAAGCCCCTGCTGGGTGGGTGCTGCTCTGGATCTCCTCCCTGGCTCTGATTTTCAAGGTTCTGCCCTTCAGTTGCTCAGTGGTGAGTGTGACACCAGCATACTCCCGTCACTGGTGAGCTCAGCACACCCTGGTTGTTGCAGAAGTTCCCATTCCTCTTCTGTGTCAGTCTGGAGGGATTTGCTGGCAGGCAGGTGGACCATCAGTGATGCTATCTGGTAGTGTTTCCATGAAAACAGCCCTGCAAATGGGGCTCCTCTGGTTCCTCTCATCCTCTCTTCTTCCTCTCCCCTGCAGGGAGGCTGCCATAGTTGGAGCAAACATGGGAGATAATGTTGGGGGGGCAGGAGGGGATGAGGCCTGTGATGTTGGGGAGAAGTCGGGTGGTTGAGGGATGCCAGACGATCCAGTCTGGCATCACAGGACACAGTGGACTGTCACCCACAGTTCTCAGCGCTGAGCCAGTGTGATGACAAGTTATATGAGCAGAGGGAGCAAAAGGAGCAATGGCACCAGTCAGACTAATGCCGTGGAGGAGATGGAGCTGCTTAGCTGATTTGTCTGGTTGTCAGCACAAACACTTCTGCTCATCTTGGTGCAAAAAGTGTTCTGGCAGCAGACCTCTCTGAGTCGGTTGTTCTTGGAATCTGTGAGAGGCAGGAGACTTTGCTTGCCCTTTCTAAGTAAAGAATATTATTATATATATTATTATAAC